AATTTTCTAATTGTTGTGATTTACAAACCTTGGGGATACATTTTGAAATTTGTTGGTTGTTGAGTTTGTTGGTGATTTAAAATTAAATTCCAGCGAACCAATTTTAAAAATTACTGGCGCAACGCGAAAAACAATATTCTTTTGAATGGCCCCTTTTCCATTTGCGGGTCATCAGGCCAAGGGCGTTGGAAAACGCGCTTTGGCAGAAAGTTTGACGGCCGATAATTCCACCTCGAAATTTTAAATAAATTTTTATAAAAACCTGTAAAAGTCAATCTATGTTTACATTACGGCGGATGGGATCTTTTTTATCTCGAAAAGCGTCACATGATTTTGGGCGTATATGAGCAGCAGAAAACATTATTGCTGACCGGCTAAATTTGCATGAAAATAAATATTTCCTAATATTATTCTTTTTCAAATGATTTTTTTGCTCATGAATAATTAAACTAATTTTTTTGTTTGATAACAGGCCAGTTTATCATGGCCAAGTGGTCCGTTCAATCATCCACCTGTCAGTTTACCCAGAGCGATCTCTGTTAGGTTTTAGCGCAATTCCCTTGTCTGAACCGAGCGATAAATTTCGCCTGGTTATTTTGGGTGGCGCGCGGGTGTGGCGCGGTCTGTGTGCAGTCTGACCTTTGCGTGACTGGCTGACCCTGGTCATGATCGGTCCGAGCTTTATCATTGTGCGTGTGTGTGCGTTTTCGCTCTTTGCAGTCAGAAGCGGCGGGCGTAGGCGAGTAAACAGCCGGGCAGCTTTGCTGATTAATTATACACACATGCACGGCCGAAGAGCTGCCGGCGCGAATTAATCTCCCGCCGCCCCGTTCGCGGATCTCACTTGATTCAAATGAGGGCACGCGAGTGAGAAGAGAACCGACTAACGAGCAAACATGCAATGCTAACACCACCGCCGCTATCTTCCGTAAGAGATAGAAAAAATAATGCGCAGGCTAGAACTGAGATCCAGAGTCCAGACTATAGATTACAACATTAAAAATTAATTTTTATCACGTTTAGACAAAGATTGCAAAATACTGACCGCACACGCTTTTTTTTTTGTTTTGTATCAAAATTATTTAACTGAATTGTATTTATTTTTGCTTCTTCTACTCTGCTCACTGCAAAAAAAATGAAATTTACAGTTAGCAGCTTGAGTATCGATTGTGAAATCATTATTTGCGATTTTTCTTTTGCAAGAAAAATTTTTGTTTGTCGAAATCCACCATAAAATGCTTATAAAACTGCTTATAATTTGAAGCCATGACATTTTAAATTAAGAAAAGAGAAAAATAAATGAAATTAAAAAAAAAACTATTGCACAACAATTCTGACACTTAATTAATTACTAGCCCGAAAAAAAGATTGAAAATTGAGTTGATCCTGTCGCAAAATTTAGATTGCGGGTTAGGCTGTTAATCTGAAATCTGAATCACAAATTCAATTCCAATCAGTAAAAAACATAGATCATGAGAAATTAAGATTTTTTAAATGTACTATAAGTGACTGTTCCTTTTTCAATATGGTGTGGGTTCACCACGGCGGTAGCGCGTCTCTTTTGATGTCGAGCGTTTTTAGCAGACCTCATCTAGTTGTGATACCTTTTCTGCTCATTTTTTCAATTTCAATTTTTTTTATGACTCGAGTAGAATAATTTTAAGAATCAATCACTTTGCTCAACCTCTTTTTAATTGAAGAAAAAACATTGATACACTTGGGTCGAAATTAAAATATGATATTTTTAATTGAATTGATAAGAGAGAAAACTTTTAGGTTTAGTTGAAGAAAAAAATTGCCCGTCAAATTTTCAACCGATCCATTTGTTTTTTCTACCGAATTTAGTGAGCAGACAAACACAAAATTTGTTTTTATTGCGAGAAAATACTTTTAAGATTTGAAAGTTGTGGAACCGCGATGCAGTTCGAATCCACTAAAGCCGCAGCCACAATTGAATTGAAGTTTGTTTGCTGCTTTTGCTCTCTCACAAATCAATGTGGCGCCCTGGGTAAACAAACTGTGATCGAATTAAAAAAAAAACGTGATGGATGCGCGGCTGTTTTGGTGGTGTTTGGCCGTAAATAACTGTGAATAAAAAAACGAAAGAGGGAGCGAGCCAGGAATTCGCTGCCAAACAGTCCGGATAGAATCGCCCTCTCAGATAAAGATAAATCACGTCCCGCTCGCGCCACCCAGGGTGTTAATGGAATTTTTAATTTGACGCAAGGTTCTTCTTTTCACTCAGAAGCAGAGGAAGAAGAGATAACTTTCTTCCTTTGGACGCCACTGACGGTTTGTTTGTTTTTCTGTGGTCGGTTAAATTCTGCGGAGAAAGCGATATTGAGAAAAGGACCCCTTACAAAATGAAGTAAAAGTCACTTTCTCCCTCTAACTGATTTTCTTTTGTTCTAGAGAGCCAATCCACTCACGGGGAAATTTCTTCCTGTCGAAAAAGGAACGATTAGCGTCGGCAGAAAGAAAAAATTGCAATTGGAAAAGAAGAGGCGTCGGGGCACGCGGCTCGCAGAAAAGGAAAGTCCTCGGGGACGCGTTTTGCAACAAAAGATTGAAAAGGAAATGAGGACGACTGAGCCATAGAAACTCCCGGGGGCCATTACAGTAATTAAAAAAGTTCAACATTTTCCATTAAATCTGACTGAGAAATTAAAATTGGAAAAAATATCACCGTAATATTAAAAAGACTTACAGGAATCTTTTCAAACAAATTTAATTTAAATAATTTTTTAAAAATGAAATTAAAAAAAATATATTTGTATTATCTTGTTATATACATTTATCTAAAATAACTATTTCCAAACTTCTCAGCGAATTGGAGCTTGAAATAATTTTTTTTTTTTTAACATTTATTTTCAAAATTTTTGTAAAAATTGTTAACATTTATTTTTCAAACTAATTCACGGATCATGAAGTATACAATGAGAAGTTATTATTTAAAATTGAATAATAATAAATTTAAAGAAAAAATGAAAAAATTCACTAGCTCAGAAGGATTAATTTGATTTTATTTTTCTTGATAAAAAAAGGAATACGCCAGAAATGAACATTTATTGATCTACATCAAAATTTGTTTAGCGATTCGATTCCAATTCTGACAAAATAATTTATTCGAGCATTGATTCCATCACCCCTGTTAAGCATTGTTTCGCACGTCGACGACTATAATTGGCGGCGATCGTGCTGGCAGAAGCACGTGCGCGTGATTCATTGCGCTCATCAACTCCGGCAATTAATCTGGACCAAAAGGCTATTTCCTGCACAGCCCCGTTGGCTGGCTGCTGCGATCGACTGACCCCCTTTATTCTTCCTTTTTTCAAAATAATGAGAGACGCGCAAATAAATCACACAAAAGGCAAAGTCTTGGCAAACAAACAAACACAATAAACTCGGGTTGTTTGTCTGAAATGCACCTGACTGAGTGACTGACTGAGAATGTAAGACAACAAGAGAGTTCCAGCAAAACAACAGTGACGTCGACATTACTCTACTCGGAAACAAACACTTTGGGGCAATTGTAATGTCGCAATGAGCGAATTGTGCAAACATACTTGTAATGAGCTGAATACAAGTTAAAAATTGAATAGAGCTTTGTAAATTTTGTCTGCCAAAAAAAAAAAAAAATACTGATATAAAATACCAAAGGTCTGGACATTTTCCTTTTATAATTTCAATTTCCATTTTTATTCTTCGTAAATTTGTACATTTTTTATTGATCGTAGTTAGATTTTTTTGTAAGATCTTAATGGATCTTAACGAGAAGCTTATTGTGATGTCAACACGGATGTGAAAAACCCTCTGTTCAAACTTTTCCCATAAGATCTCAATGTAAATATTTTTACGTCAACTGATCTATCGGTTATAAACGGCCATCTTTATTTTGGTGATATTACCATGATTTGGTAAAAAAAAAATCAGACCGTTTTTTTTTGCAAGAGCTCAGATTTAATGCCCTTCTTTCCAATTTAGGTGTGAAATTAATTTAATAATCTGCTGACCCTGATGTGAAAGAAAATTTAAAAACTTGGAAGAAGTTAATCACAAAAATCCATAGGAATTTCATGTACGCGCATGAAAGGTCTTTTATAAAAAAAAAATTGATTTTAAATTATTAATTTTTATTGGATTTATTATTTTCTAATTAATTATTATTTTAAAGAATTTAAATATAAATTAACGATTTTAAGACAATCGTAATAAATTTTTGTTTAATTTAAAAACACGCATTCATCAAAAGCATTATTTTTCCCTATTTAGAATCTGCTGCATTTAATGACGTCATATTCCTCTACCATATCAGTGAGGCGAAACTGAATTTCGGTGGCAGTTGTTGTTCCTCGTCGGTGGTCCATTTTCTCCCTTCACTATACCGTGCGATCTCCAATCAAAACTCACCGATGCGAAAGCGTACATTTTCCTTAATAATTGCCCTCTATAATTAACGATGAGGACAGCGATGGAGTGCCCCTTTCTCTCTTGTCTGCTGCGTTTCAGATTTATACACATAGAAAGCGGCGTCGGCATACAATAGCACCAGCCAAAATGAACATCCCATCGTCGACGCAAACAACCCTTGTTTATTACACAGTGGAGCGCAGACGACGTCTCCCTGTCTCGACACTTCCTTTCCCCCATAATGTATAGATTTGCCATTAGCCTGGCCCGCAAATCACGCCGTTTTGGTGTTGATTTTTTTCTTATCTGTGGTTTTTGTGTGTTTACTAGTCCAGAGATAAAAAAAGCATCGAGAGATTTGTATCGGTTTTCGATTTTGCCTTTCGAGGTAAATCAGTTTCACAGGCGATTGATAGCAAAAAATGCTGATAAAACGCCCGTCACGCTACATTAAAGCGATGATGAAAATTGCAATATTCTCTATAATATTTTACAACTAGAAATTCATAAGCGTTTTGCCAATTTTAATTTTCGAAATCTATATTGATTTCTTTAATAAAAGCCAATTGTGATTATAAAAATATTCCTACCTGAATTGGAAGCAGCAACTCCTCGGTCTGGTTTGCCCTCCAGATTTTGGCATTCGGCGGCAAACTGATGTCGCAGGCCAGCGTGTCAAGTCGCTCCTCCAGCAGGGTGGGCAGATGTGCCGGGGGCGGCAAACTGCCCAAGGAGGCTGTGAACTGCTCAAAAGCAGTGGTTGAAGTGGCCTCCGTGGCCGCCTGGGTGCTGCCGGTGGTGGCCGTGCTGGGGCTGCTGGCCGCCTTGGTGGTTGAAAGGACGGTCGTCGGACTCGCCTTGGCCGTCGTTTTTTGGACGTTAGTTGTCCCTGTTGAAGGTCGCTGGGTGCTGGTGGAGGTGGGAGGGGCCGTCGGAGGAGCCGGCGAGGGCGCGGCGTTGGAGGAGAGATTAATGGAGGGCAGCGTCCTCGCGGCCTTTGCGGACGTCAGAGGTGAGGTGGAAGTTATGGACAGGGTGGTTGATGGCGTGGCCGACGCAATGTTGGTCACTGTCGACGGCGGTATCGACGTGGAGGCGGCCACGCAGGCCGCCAAAAGCAGCGTCGCGATGAACATCACTGGGAAAAAAAAAAAAAAAAAATACATTAGACATGATATTACGATATAAAATTAATTAATTCCTTGAATATTGACAACAATTCCAATTTTCTTTAAATTTACCAACAATTACAGGAATGAAATGAATGGCTAAAACACAGAAAAAGATGAACAAAGATTGAAAATTATGTAGTTATTTGTGAATTCTATTGCTATACGTACACGCTTTAAAATAATTTTTTTTGGGCAATTAAAAAATAATCAATTATACCGATTTCTAATTTTACGAATAAATTTTTACACTTAATTAAATATTATATAAAATACATGCAATACTAAAACAAATTACAACTTTTTCTTCCTCTTATACTTTTAAAAAAACAACCAATTAAATAAAATAGCAACTAATGTTAAAGATGGATATACAACATAAACTGCTTACACAACGCCCTCTTTTATTTTAATATTCTATACTATTCTTAATTCTATACAAAATGAATATTTTAATATTTACTTCTCGTAAACGTTCAAAATCCTTCTTGTACACGAGCATAATTTTAAAGGGCCTCTGACTCTGAAGTGTCATTTTTTGGACTTTCTCGGCGCTTTTGCCATATTGCATGGCCCGCTAAATTTTGAACCAAAGCAACGCAGTCTTGGCAGCCTCGGCATGCAGAACCGCGAAGGGACGAGGGGCCTCATATGCCGATGCGACACGGAAAACCAAATAAATGAGCCTGGCGCGCGTTAAATAAAATTAGATTCACGGTTTTACTCTACCTTGGGGGGGGGGCGGCGATTGTTCCTGGTCCGTCTGGGGTCCTCGGTAGGTTGGTAAATTCCTCCATCGGCTCAAATTCAGCGAGATAGGAGCGAAGGGCGACTTTTGTTAACGTTGCACAAAGTGGCACACAATGCAGGAATGCACTCCTGCAAACACTCTCCCTCCGTCCCTCCCTCCCTCCCTCGATCCTGCTGGCGGTGGCTGCTGCTTCTGCTTGATGCTCAAAGACCAGAGCGAACAAGTCAGGACGGGGATGAGAGAATTGAGAGACGTGCGCGTGTCGCGAGAGGCAGATAAAAATGACATTGAGTCAAAAATCATTATAACGCGTTTTAAAATAATCTACATATTTGCAGCACTGATATATAGGCGATGAAAGGTCGTAACGTTTAAATTTTTATTTTGAAACGAATCATTTTTCAGAGATGAGTAATTACAAATCATTTCGCGGCATTTTTTTTATGAATATATTTAAAAATTAAATAAAATAATAAATTTTACATAAAAAAAATAAAATAATTGGCCAATTAAATTGTCCTTTTTTTGCAAAGCAATGCCGCCGGAATGTTCTTTATTTACATTTGGAGAACTCAATTTCAACTTTTGATTTTTTAAGGATGAAATAAATTTTTAAGAATTTTTACAACATAGCTTCATTTCTACAAAGATCATCTTTGAAAAATGATTCGTCCCAAAATAAAAATTAAAAAGTTACGACCTTTCATCGCCTATATATCAATGCTGCAAATATGAAGATTATTTTAAAACGCGTTATAATGATATTTGACTCACAATGTCATTTTTATCTGCCTCTCGCGACACGCGCACGTCTCTCATCCCCATCCTGACTTGTTCTCTCTGCCTCTGGTCAAGCTCTGGTCTTTTTGAGTGAGCATCAAACAGAAGCAGCAGCCACCGCCAGCAGGATCGAGGGAGGGACGGACGGAGGGAGAGTGTTTGCAGGAGTGCATTCCTGCATTGTGTGCCATTTTGTGCAACGTTAACAAAAGTCGTCTCTCGCTCCTATCTCGCCGAATCGGAGCCGATGGAGGAATTTGCCGACCTGCCGAGGACCCCAAACGGACCAGGAACAATCGCCGTCCCCCCAAGGTAGGGTTAAGCCGTGAATCTTATTTTATTAAACGCGCGCCAGGCTCCTTTATTATTTGGTTTTCCGTGTCGCATCGGCCCGTCGGCACATGAGGCCCTCGTCCCTTCGCGGTTCTGCCTTCCGAGGCTGCCAAGACTGCGTTGCTCTGGTTCAAAATTTAGCGGGCCAACCTGGCGAAAGCGCAGAGAAATTCCAACGCCGATTTTTTCAAATGCCGATTGACCCGATACGAGCGCCGAATTTTTGGTCACCCAGCAAAATTTGCACATTTAATGCGCGTTATTAAAACCATAAAATTCAGGGGCCCTTTAATTGATAAACCACGTTAAGTGTTAAGTAAATCCAAGAACTACATTAAAATTGCCCACAGACGATTATTTTTTTTTTTTACTTATAAATTCAAAGAAAAAAAATCAAATTTTGAAACTTTTTGAAATAATTTCAAATAAAACTGTTTTATTATATGTTGGAAGTTTATTGTGATTTTCTTCAAAGTTACATCTCGTAAAAAAATTTATAAAAACATTCTCTAACCAATGGTACGTCAAATGCACATAAATGATTTGACAAAAATAATGATATTTGATAATTTGACCAATTAAATATTTGAAAAACTTATTATTTAAATTTTTGTTGTTTATTCTACTTAAGTCTTACTCATGAAAAAAATTGAATTGGAAAAAAAGAGCAGAAAGGGTATATCACAAGTAGCAGAGGTCTGCTAAAACGCCCGACATCAAAAAGAGATCGGACACCGCGTGAACCCACACTATTGAAAAAAAGACTTTCACTTAAACAAACTAAAATTAAGGTATTTCTGTCATGTTTTTCTTTCCAAATATTCTAATTCAAGCTGTTGCATCGTGATTTGTTTTACTTCAATTTTAGATTTTTTACTGTCTAAAATTGCTTCTAAAACCAAGAAACCAAAATATATTATTTTGTAAATTTTGCAGAGCAAAAAAATGCCTATCACTTAAAAGTCTCCATACAATAGAAAAATTAGACGATTAGAAACGATATTTTTTTATTGTAAGAGATGGAAGATGACAAAGTTAGACTCCACTAACTTTGTCTTTTATTCTTTTAGTCTCAACCAGGGTTTTGTTTCCAATGAATCATGTTGCTTTCAAAAGTAACAGTCAGAAGAACGTTTTCATTTGGCAAACCCCAATGTATTAATTTTGATTCTTTTTTCTGAAGAGGAGGTACTCTGTCTGGAAACTTTGTGATTCTTTGCGCTGCTATCTCGTCTACTTTGGTACTTTTCTCATTTCGAGCGCGTCTTTTTGTTTTGGGCCGCGGTGTATATCTGAAAGGGGATTTGAGAGGCAGCGCAGTAAACAGCAGGCGAAGAAGTTCGCGGAGCCGCATTTAATTGTGCAGACGAGAGAGTGTCCCGAACAATGAAGTCGCAACTCGAATTGCCTCGGTCGGCTCTCGCCGGGATTTGCAGGAACAATCGCGCTCCTTCAAGCAGGTCCATTCAGGCCGAAATTAAATGAAGCGCTCGCTCCATTTGGCCGCACGCGGCCGAGACAAAGGCCCAGGGGAGTCGCTCCAGCGGACCCACTCTCTCTCAAGGTGCAATTAGGGTCCGATTGGCCGCAATGCCACCGCGCCTTGACCCCGTGCGCGCGCACCCCCGCAATTAACGCGCGCACCGGAAACAAGGACTCTTCAAGTCGCTCATACATGCACGACCCTCTCAACCTTTTAACTTAGTTGCTCGCGCCCGGCCTTTAATACTTCAACAAAGAGAGCTAAAGAAATTTGCAAAAAGCACTTTGCTTTACTCTAAAAATGAACTTTGCTCTTTCATTTCTGAGTTGTGCGACTTTTATGTATACTTAGTCAGAACTTTTGTCTACATCAAAGTAGACAATTCTAACTAGAGCAGTGCGTCGGAGAGTTTTTGAGGTGCAGAAATAATTATAATTAAAAAGTTACTTTTTGCACAAATAAATATTAGTTTAATTTAAAACTAAAACTTCATCGCAATTCAATGACAAAAAATCATTAGTCTGAATAAAAAAAATTGACGATATTTTAAATGCAATAGCATTGCAAGAAGTTGAAAAAAGGTAAACATTTCAAAAAATTAAATGTGCAATTGATTGTCTTAATTTTAAGTGGAAATAATAAAAAAAAAGGTTCTAAAGTTTGGTAAAATAAATGTGGCATGAAAGGAAAATAGTTTAACCGGTTTAACCAAGGTAAAAAGGTAAAGGTTTTAAGCAGGTTTTAAGCAATAAAGGTGGCTTTAAATTATTTTTCTAATCAGAAAATTGAGTTGAAAGGTGATGCGGGGATGTAAATTTTTAAGTAGACAGAGTAAAAATTATTATATATTTCTATACCCTATTTAAACATGACGTCAATTTTTATAGGTATCTTTTATACATTAACTGCATTACAATTTAAAACAATGAGTATGTAAAAAAATTAATTTTATAACAGATAAAATTATCTCTTTATTTTCTTATTGTTAGGAAAATGTATATCTAATTTTTAGATTTTAGAAAGTAGTTTGAGGCGATTTGTTCATTCACATAAATTTTATAGCAAAGAAGAGTTTTTTCAACTAATTGATACATTGTAATATTTTTTGTTGTTTTTTTTACTCTCCATTTTCTACTTGTTTTGTACTATGTTGCAAATGGGGCGCGTTGCAATGAGTCACTACATCGTGGCGACGCTTCATAAGCCAATAAAGATCAATAATAATAATAATAATAATAGTTGAACTGCCAATTATAAATTTTATAATTTTCAGAGAATATAAGTTTTTACTTTTATCAAAGCTTGAACTGTAAAAAGGGCCTGTGGGTATGTTAAAATCATCCTTAGAGAGATTATGTGCTGATAACGCAGTTCGTTCGTTTTTCAGCGGGCATATAAATTTCCCGCACACGCCAAAATATTTGCTCGCACAGTGAATGTGCTGACCGCACTTTTCCGCAGAGGGAAGTCTGCTGGGTAGTTTTTTCGGCCAAAAAATGTTTTCAGCGGGTGTCTGATAAAATCTGGTCGTAATTACAAGGGAGCGAGCTGGCGCATTATCATCGTCATTTTTCGCCCTCTCTCTCTCGGATAAGATCGAGAGCAGCAGAGAGAGAGCAGGCCTGAAAAACAAAGAAAGCCCTTTTCGCCGGCGGCAGTAAATTAATCCGGCGCGCTAGATCTTCATTAGTCGGGCAGGTCGAAAATCAGCATTCCGGGCGTCGGGTGCCGAAAATTAAATCACCGCGCCCGGAATCAGAAAAGAGAGAGAGAAAGAGCTGTGGAATTCGCGACGCGCTTGCGAATTAATCTCGCCACGTGCCTCGACGCTTTAATTGTCTCATTATGCGCGCCAGCAGCTGACACGGAAGAGAATCAAGAAAGTTGCCAGAGGAGAGAAAGGCGAGATTTACTGCGGGTGCGTTATTTCCACTGCGTTTGAGAAGAAGAACCGGGGCACAGAACTTCTCGCGCACTCTGACCTCTTTCTTTGAAATCTTGCAACGTTTTTAGGGTTGCTCATTTTTATTATTTTTTTTTAAGTTGTTTATCCCTCTTGGGAAAGGCACCAGCTCACATTTTTATAAAAAAAAATGGCTTAATTTGACTTCATGAACAACTGCTTTGTTTTGGATATTTTAAAATAATAAAAAGAATTTAAGGAGTTTCGAGGTGAAAATTTGAGCCACTGCTCAGTGTCACAAAAAAGTGTATCTTTAAAAAAAAAAAAAGTATTGCATAACTATAAATTTTGACTTTCTAAAATTAAATCTATAACTGTAAATCAAAATAAGAATTTGGCAATGTTTAAAAAAAAACGCATCAGAAAAGTGTTGTATATATATATATATATATATATATATATATATATATATATATATATATATATATATATATATATATATATATATATATATATATATATATATATATATATATATATATATATATATATATTAAAATTGGATACAAATTACACCAAAATTGTTTAAAATTTATTAATGAAGTATTAAAAAAAAATCTAATTTTTGCATACAA